AAGAATGCTTAGAATGTTCTTATCTGTGCGAGCGCAAGGTTGAGCTATAAGCAGAGGTTAAATTCTTCCGCAGATCCTGACTGCAGTGCTCATTGGCATCCAGATGGGCCTCAACCAGAAATGGATGCTTTCTTTTACTGTAACACCTACCCACTCAGAAGACCTGTTAGGCCAGTGTTTACTCATATAAGACTAATCTTTATTTACTGAAGTAAAGCATGACCGCAAAAGCACAACTTCTAAACATTTATTGGCCACTGGGTAGATTTTCTGGTTAATGTTTTTTTTTTTTTTTAATCTCCTATAATTATTTGTTTGATGTCAAACCATCTGTCAAAACAAATCCAGCAATCTTATCTTGGTTATGTTACTAAATTTGTTTTAATCACTAAAATTAATGTTTATTTGGCTTTGTTGGACCTTTAGCTTCAGATTTACAGATTTAGACAGAGCATTCATGCATGTTATTCTTCAAATGAAATACTCAAAAGAGCCTTAAGGTTATACGCTTCTGCATGGCAAAAAGTAAGAAAATAACAAGAAAAAGCAGGTTAGTTTTAGCATTAAAATGACTCCATTGCACGTCCTCACTGTATCAAGTCTTTATCATTAATTTAAACTATAAAAGGTTTAAAATAAATGCTTTTTTTTAACATGATTGTTTTTATTGATAGACTTTTTATGCAAAAATATCCCTGTGTTGTTAAAGTTTGCTTCCTCAAAACATGCATAGACACACATCCAGACAAAATGAATTATGTCACTGTCCAGACACACAGTGGGCATTGATCCCTCCACACAATGCATCCTCCTCACAGCCAAAAACATGGGATCACAACGCTGCAGCTAGCATACATGCTGCTTCACGTATGCTTGTGCATAAAATCATAATGACAAGGAGCAGACAAAGCGTCTGTTAGCATTTGTAAAGGCCACAATATGCAGACACAATGTTCACCCTCACAGGTCCAAGTGGATTTCAGGACAATGGACTATCACACTAACACCGATTTGCCAGGTTACTGTGAGAGACTCTTTATTTAACACCAGGCAACACTTGTATTTTACGATACGTCTAAAAGTGAACAGATTTTCTTTTTTGCCCTCTCTTTGAACAGCACAGTCTACTCAGGCTCACGTTTTTCTCACTTCCCCCGTCTGGTTCTGGAAATTAATTTACCACAAGAAAGTGGCACATGCTCTGAGAAATGATTCACATCAACTTTTCTTTTTGTGGCTTCAGGTCGCAGGACAAAAAAAAAATTTTAAAAATCACTTGTGCTGTCTTAATTGGTTAAATAATGTTTGATGTGGTGCTTTTCTTGTGTGTTTGTTGGCGTTTGACAAACAACAGCTTTGTCAGGTTTTGGTGCCAGAATCCCTTCGAGGGACATTGCTCAGATTTTTCACACATACTCAGCTAAACGTGTTAATTTTTAACTCAGATGTGTTACTTTAGAAAAAAAATGTTTTTTACGAGAACCCACAATAAGATCCATCAAAGCATGGGATGTATTTATTTATTTGAATTAGGCAAAAACTTTGCACGTTTGGAAGATTTTTGGGCGGTTCTTTTACTTTTTAACATACATTCCCCACAAAGAGTAAGCAGCACCAGGATTGTGCTATTAAAATAAAAATATATACTTTAAAAAAACCTTACAGGAGAATTAGAGCCTCTGACAGCACTTTCAATAGAACCTTCGTGCATCTACAGTATAAGCACCAAAATTTGACTGTGCAAGATTAAGGGGATGAAAGTAAAGAGACAAAATCCTGTCATTATAAGGTTTATGTCTGATGTAAGCCAAATTTAAAACAAAACTATGACAAGAGAATTATCTACAAGTGTCATGGTGTCAGAAGATTTCTGCAGCATTTCAAAAGCTCAAATCACTGCTGCTTCCAGCATTGTCAGGCTGGACGAACCAGTGAACGTCTTCAGAACCAAGAGATCTGGAATGAAGAACTTTGGTCAGACCAGTCAGTCAGCAACCGTTGTGAGATCCAGAGGCCATTTGTGTAACTGCTAGAACTTCACAGAATGTCAGCTTTTGGTGCAGCACTCATGTAGAGGAACATATACCTGTGATATATTATCCATAAATTAAACGGATTCATTAATTTTTCTGGACTGAATAATATCGTGCATTGAAATTAATTAAACGTAACGTGAGACGTCAATTTTCTTTGACCCATCAAATGAATGCGGTCATTTATTAACAGAATCAAAGTTTAACATCAAACATTTACATTAATTTGGCAAATTGATTTCAACAACAACATAATTAATTAGCAAGCTTTACAACTAGGAAACCATACGGCCATGATTTCCCTGTATTAAACCAACAGACATTTCTGAAAATATCTGGATAATTTCTGGCAAGATGGAAGGGTTTAAAGATGGGGGATGAAGGAGTTAAAATTGAGAGAGAAGATGGATGAGGGGTTGTTATGTGTCGGTATCAGAACGGCACGCTCCGTTAAGATCCCAGCTTCCTCCTCGGTACACTTAGGTGGTATAAATCGACTCTTTACCTGTAGCAGGTGTCTCCACTGGTACGGAGTTCCATTTAACCCACCCTTTCAGCGTCTCCGTAGGAACAGCTGTGAATCGTCCGAAGTAGTGACGGTAGTCCGTCCGACACAGGTTCACCTCTCGGTTGGGCTCACATGAGTTGTGAGTCCGTCAGAGTTCCACTCAGATGTGGAAGATTTCATAATTCCCACGAGACTCGGAAGAACTCCGGATCATGTCTGGAACCTCCTGAACTCTCCAGCACTTTTCTGTTCGGTACTGCTCTCCGAACTGAACTGCTCTCCCACCGCACTCGACTGCACGAACTAGGAAGTGCCGACATTTAAAGAGTTCTCTTTCCGGTTCATTTGGGAAGTTCCTGATTGGTCGATCGACCAGACAGGGGTGTGTTTTAGTGATGTAAGAGGTTATTAAAAGTCAGAAAAACAGAAAAATTGTTTTGGAACGGACAGAAGATGTTTTTGAGACAGACGAGAGAAATGTTTAGGCGAGTTGGGGAAAACAGGTGCCAGCTTCTCTATTTACGTCTGAGAGGATTTAAAAACATGACAGTTCGTTCCAACAACTTGTCTTCGACCTTTGACCGACATCACAACTTGCTCATTTCAGACAGAAAATCAGAAAATGCATGAATTACTCCGTAACACATTCTAACTTGATTTCTACTTTGAATGAGGATTAAAAATTCATTAATACTGTTTCACAGTTGATTTAAAATGAGTAGTTCACTTCAACATTTAAAAATGGTTTGAACTAAACACACTTTGATTATCAAGAAATTTGTAAGATAGTAATGATAATAAAAGAGAGTGTTCTTTCAATTGATCAGTGCAGGACAAGAGAAAGTCTCTGGATGAACTTAATCTTGTGTTTCTGGACTCAAATCAATGAAATACAGTTCTTGTCCCAGGAAGGCCCTCAAGGCCAGATTTGACCTGAGGCTTAGTTCACTACACTCACAACAATCAAACCTGAGAAGTTGAGTGGCCAGAAAAGGCAGTTGTTCACTGAAAGGTACAAGACTGTCCTGAGGCTTTCTTAAAAGCCACTGCTGAACGCAACGGACAAATGATTTCAGTATGATGGTGTGAAATTTTAACTGTTTGGTTACAACCTCCAATGCTGTGTGTGTGGAGAAAAGGAGATGCTGAGCATGGCTTTTATAGTACCATCTCCATAGTCAGACATGGTGATGGCTGCATCATCCTGTGAGGATGTTTTTTCTCTGGCTGGGATTGAGAGACTAAGATTATAACCGTCCTAAATAATACCTGTGACTCAACACTTCCCATCTAACCACTTCTCCCGAAAAAAATAAGATCAACTTTTACAGGGAAGAAACGCTAATCAGTAATTAAATATTTCAAGATTTGGTGCTTTACCATATTTGGGCCGGACCTGCTAGTTTTGATTTAGTTTACTTGACTAAACTCTAAAATGGACTGGAGGATTACTGCAGTCTCAAACATTTTTTGCTAAATCTGTTCTGGTGATCCCTTTTCCTCTTTTTTTTCTAATTCACAGAGGAAACGTTTGCAATCCCACATTTGTCTCTTTGTGTAAAAACGTACAATGATCCATTCCAGGACTCTATTGTCACATCCTATTTCCTTCATCACATCTGCTGTGAGTGATTGGCCACAACAATGGCTAACAGGATATTGTAGACTTTATACCGTGTTAGAGCAGTAATAACAGCTGCAAAGGTGGAAAAATGCTGTTGCATCAGTTTCCTTTGTGTACATGATGCAGCACATGTGCAATTTTGCAGCTGAAAAGCTTGTTTTGCTTCTGCAATACTTTCAGCAAGCCATAAAAGAACAGTAGGCTAAGAAACCTCCAGATCAGTCCATAAAACTTGATTATGTGACTTCAGCTACAGTATGAATTGGATTCTACATTTATTAAACTGCTAATTATCTTGTGAAATACTTTTCTGTCCTTGTTTATGTAACTACAGTGCTACAGTTTCTTGGCTGCCAGCTGAGATAAAACCCAGAGTTTTTACAGTTCATATAAATAATGAAGTCTTGTGAAATAAACAATCACCAAAATGCTTTACCTATTGATTATTAGAGCTCAAAATGTGTCAAACGGTTTTAAATAGACAAATTAATTAAAATTATTGGGAAAACTTTCAGAAGACACGGAAAGTAAACTGTTTTCAAGCTGGCGCATGCTTATCTAAATCTGATCTGCAAACAAAATACTGGCAGACAACACATTTGTGAATAGTGAAAGTATAGACATTGTGGCATGTTGTGTAATGGTTTAAACACGTCAGTAGCCACAATTACACACAGACGTGCATGGGAGTATTTTATAGCAGCATAAATACTGTTTAAGCTAGTCTGTCATAAGCTGGAAGCACAAAAATTATTTCAAAATAACCTAGATGCCAAAAAAAAAAATAGAAATAAAAAAATCTTCTTCTTCTTATCAAAGTTCTGTCTTTTCTCAGGTCCTCAATGCCCAGAAAGCGGGCTACAAGGCTGCCATTGTTCACAACGTGGACTCTGAGGAATTAATCAGCATGGGATCCAATGATTGTAAGCTAACACCCAGTGCACCACCCATTACCCCACATACACCATCTAATAATGGACATTTAGTATTCTCTTTAGATTCCCCCACTGAAAATGCATTTCAAGTCACAACATGTGTATGGAAAATGAAACGCTCTGCAGCGCAAAGAAACCCTCGATTATAAAGCCGACTCTGCTTTAGCTCAGTTTTGTCATGAGACTCTGTGGTTTTGTTTCACTCAATCCCCTCACTTATAGCAGTTAATTATCTCTAAGGCCTTTTAGCAGAAGGAACTGGTTTTACAGACATGGTAGAAGCACTTTCAGAGGTTTAATCATGTTGCTTGATGTCACTAATGTGTTTGTATGGTATAACCAAAGTGCTCTAATGCGCAATCAAACAGCACCTAAAACTACAGTTTAATCACACATTGATTCACATTTTATCATTAAAAAGCAATGTGCAAAAGTGAGCAGCCAATCCAAGTAATGTTGTTTTTTTAATCCAACACACACAACCTAAGCAACAGAAGCAATATATCAAAGAAAAACATTTTCTAAATTATAACTACTTGTTTGTTCATCTTCGTGTCCATCAATTGAAGTTATAATTAATGAAGAACTTTGACTTTATATACACAGTTAAATCTGTTTATTTAAGTTGCTTTATTTTTGTTTTGTTTTTTTTACTAAATCATCATTGATTGAAAAGCTGATTGATGTTTTTCTAATAACTGTATGACATCAAGTGAAGTTCCTCATATGTGTGAACAACTTATTGAAATGACGTGATTTTGATTCATCAGGTCAACTGTTTGAAGATTGTGTTTACTAAATCAGTTGAACATCAAAGTTCATGCTCAGTGATCCAGGTAACAAAATCCAACAAAGTTCAGTTCAGATCATCTGGGCAGTTTCTTTTTTTTTTTTTTTTTGTTCTTGTTGAGACGTTTCGTCCTTCATCCAAAGAACTTCATCAGTCCGAGGAGCCAAAACAAACTGAGTCCCACAAGCAGCACACTCCCGTAGTGGGCCAACCAGTTTGCTGGTGATAAGATGGTTTCTGGGGCCCGCCCTCTCCCCTGTCGACTCCTCTGAGGCAGCCATAGCCAAAGTGGTTCAAAACATCAAAGTTCATGCTCAATAATCCAGGTAAAGTGTGCCGAGTGTGCTGCTTATGGGTCTGAGTTTGTTTGTAGCTTCTCAGACTGATGAAGTCCTTTGGATGAATGATGAAACGTCTCAACTACAAAAAAAAAAAAAAAAGAAACCATCCAGATGACCTGACTGAACTTTGTTAAATCAGTTGAAGAAAATCAGAATTTGTAAGTTAAACATGGACGTGTTAGTAATTCCAACGTCCTACAAACAGACTTTTTCATGCTTCCTTTGAACAGAAGTTGTGTCAGCCTTTAATAGATATGTTAATTATTCTGTTGGGATTTATTTTTGCTCTTTTTAGTGGATGTAGTGAAGCAGATTGTTATACCCTCTGTGTTTGTGAGCGAGGAGACGGCCAACACGCTGAAAGATGACTTCTTGTATGATAAGGGGTGAGTTTGGTCCCTTTTATCTTGACCTTTGGTATAAATGCTGTTTCCTGCTCAGTGTTTTGCTTCTCTGTGCATTTTTCAATCATGATAAAAAGCTGGTTGAGCATTTTTCACACTTTAGTTACAAGTTGAAGTTGTTAATGTACAATAATAATAATCTGTGCATTGCCTTTAAATATGCTAATAAACAAATATTTAGCTGTAGAAAAGCTCAATGTGAGCTCAGAAGTCCTTTTAATTTCTTTAGAGAAAAATGTGTGTTTGTATGTGCTAATACATGAGTATTCCCACATCTTCTGCAGTCTGATGAATAAACGTCAAACATGACATTTGCAGAGTTTGGTGTCTGAATGAATTTAGCTGTTAGAAGTTTTACAGGACAGCAGACTTTATGTCCATATAAATGAAGTGTTGAGTTAAATATCCTTTTAAGTGCCACCATGATGGCAGCCTGTGTGAGGCTCACTGTTTCTGGGATAATATCTGTATAAAATGTTAATCCTGCTCCTGAAATGATTCTGCTTGTTTGACCAGGGGACACTTGGTCCTCATCCCAGACTTCAGCCTGCCTCTGGAGTACTACCTGATCCCCTTTCTCATCATAGTGGGAATCTGTCTCATCCTCATCGTTGTTTTCATGGTGAGCGTATCTAATATGAGTTTATCCTAACCCAGAGTTTGTGTCCTCTTAAGTGATGTTTGTTGAAAGATTTTATTTCACGTGTCAATTTCGAGGTAAAGATGAAAAAAGTGGATTTGTTTTAAATTAGATTTCAGTCTGAGATTTGAGATTGTCTTTCTTCCAAGCTCAACTTAGAACATTTTTCTTCTAACTAATACTTTAAAAAAAATTTTTTTTTACTAAAAACAGATCACCAAGTTTGTTCAAGATCGACGCAGAGCCCGGAGGAGCCGCCTGCGCAAAGATCAGCTGAAGAAACTTCCCATTCATAAGTACAAGAAAGGTGAGGGGGGTGGGGGGAATCCTTAACAGCAGTTTGAAGTGACAGCAGGGCTTAATTTGTAAATCAAACGATGCTGGCACGCAAATAGGGTGTCCTCCCCCAGAGAATTTTGAATAAAATAGATGCCATTTCCTGCATTCTGGTGTATTTTACAAAGGTTTATTACAGCAGATTAACATGAAACAAAAGATGTAAACTCATTATTGAATTGACTGCAAAGCGTTCGTAATGCAACACCGCTGCAGCTCTGCAGGTAAGGGGGCGTTCACTTCAGGACAAATTGAGGTTGCTGACTGGTCAGTTGCTGGCGTGCCTACTGGATTGATTGACAGGTGGGTCGAGGATCCGACTACTGCAAAAAAAAATAAAAAATCTTTTACTGGCCCGTTTAAGACTTGTGTCATTAACTCCATATTTATTGAATATTTTAGTGAATCTAAGGTGGGGACAGTCTATGCTGAAGCGCAGACAGAGCGACTCAACCTCAATCTGTCCACAGAATACACCTGCGTCCTCGGACCAGTGCTGTGGATAAAATACCTGCATCTCCTCAGTAAAATGATTGTAAGACTTTTGTCAGGCAGGCGCCCACCATGAGACAACAAGCGCAGCTCTGTTTTTGGCCACACTTAGAAAAAAACTGCCTAATATTTAGCGCTTTGTCACTGCTTAGAAAAGAGTTGCTTTCAATCCCCCTTCTGCTCAATTCAGAGAAACGTCCTGGTCACTCGGACATCGCTTCAAACACTGACTGCACGACAAACAGCTTTATGAGCCGAGCTCCTCGTCTCTTTTTTGCAGTTCAGATAACTCCTGCAGTGATTCACTCATCAGATTGTTCACAAAAGCACAGGAACTTATGCATATGCCAAATAATTATATTTTTATGTTTTTTAATCAAATTCTCCATGACTTTGAACTTTTAGGGACGGAGATTTTTTTAAGAGTAGAAGCGGAAATGTGAAGCGACAGCTCTGATGTGATATTAGGAAGCTTGTTTAAAATTTGTGTTTATGTCATTATTTTCAGATTACAAATCCAATAGAGGTCTTATTCATTCAAGGTAGTCATATTTATTCATAACTTTATTAAGCCTGAGAGTTAACGGATCCAAGGAAACAGTTACCGGAACGCATCCTGTCCAAAAAAAAGGGGGGGAGTTCCCGGATCCTGTTCCGGCAGGATCCAGCTCAAATTAAGCCCTGAGTGACAGTAATGCATGAAATGTTCCGGATGAGTTACTGTAAACCACTTCCTGGAGCAAACCGACACACATTTACATGTACTGTAAATGTACATTAGTTAGCCCTCTTCTGATTCGGACTCCTGACCCCTAAGGATCAGGAGAAACGCTTCTTCTTCTGTTGCTTCTTTTCACATGATCCAGCCCAGGACAAAACTGTAATCGATGACATATTATTCACCTTAGAGCTAATCCGGTTAGCATAGACTTGATTTTTTCACAAAGCCCAGCACGTCCGATTACAGCTTGTTTTTGTTGAAACTCTGTTCATGACTGATTTGGAATGTGGTGTCAGTCCTGCCAGACTCCTGGCTACATTCAGCGTGTTGGTTGTTTGTGAGAGTTAGCTGTATGTTAGTGAAAATTTAGGATATTTTTGAAGTATTTATTTTAGATACCATATTTTTTGGCCTATAAATCACATTTTTTTGCATAATTTGCATGTCCTGCGACTTATACACCGAAGCGACTTATTTATGGATTTTTTTCCCCCATATTTATAAACCAATTTTTGGCTGAGATATGACCGTTTTCATTCGTTCTGACTGAAAATATTGAACACTACCATTTTGGCATGGCACTCGAGTGTATGGCATGCCGTTATGTTATGTAATGGGTAAAAGTGGCTATTTTTCGTTCAACATTTATTTATACAGGTTAATCCCATCGAGTCTCGGGGACTCATTTACAAGAGAGGCCTGAAAACATTATGACACATTAATGACTATTAATGACACAATCGGCTTGCCATAGCCTACCACCTTCGTCCAGCTCGCCTGGAGCAAACGTCAAATCAGCTTCATTTCACTGCGCCGCCCAGGCAAAATTCAGCTGGTTTGACCATTAAAATGCATTTATTAAGCAAACGTTCAACTGAGACACACCTTTGCTATAATGTCGAGAAAACAAAGAATTGTTTTAAGTGTTACTGTGTCTTGTTAAATTCCTGTTAAAGTCCTCCCGTGCACGCTCCCGCAGCCGCCATTTGGCAGCCAATCAATTTTTGGCACAACACTGGCCCACATTTCCAGGTTGTCAGCGGTGACGTGTAACAAACGCGACGCGTCACCGGTGACGAATAATGGATGCGACTTATACAGCGAAGCGACTTATTTATGGATTTTTCCACTTTATTAGACATATTTGGACTGATGCGACTTATAGGGCAGTGCGACATGTACGGCGAAAAATATGGTAATTTTTCCAACTCTGCACCAAAGTTCATGCTCAGTAATCCAGGTATACAATCCAACAATGTACAATCAGGTCATCTGGACAGTTTCTTTTTTATTTCTGAGACGTTTTGTCCTTCATTCGAAGGACTTCTTCTGAGGAGCCACCAGTAAACAAAACTGATTCCCACAAACAGCATACTCCATAGAGCTCACATTGTTCCAACTCTGGTTTTCCTATCTGCCTGACTGGCTATAAAACTATGTTAAACTCAGATTTTATTTGCCTTTAGAGGTTTTATATAGTTATGTTTTGTGCTGTCGCTGCATTTTGTCGACCGGAGAATCCCCGACTTCGGTCAGCTGTGCAGGGGAACATAACGGCACCGAGAGGAGAATGGGTTCCCCCCAGTGATAACAGATACAAATGCAGCACTCTATCTAAAAGGGATGTTGTCTCCTCCAGCTGTGTGGTTTGTGCCACCTCATGGCTGCGGGCAGACTGACTCAGGAGTTGCAGTCGACTTACAGGGAGTTCAGATGCCCAGGAAAAACCCTCTGGAGTGAGGTTTGCAGTCCTGCCAGCTGAGTCAGTGCGTTTGGCGACACAGGAAAGGGATACCAACTCTTCACCTAATCACTTTTTAAGCCCTGTGCACTGGAGCAATACAAACTGCCTCAGTTGTTTCAAGGGGCTGCAGTGTTACACTTTGCTCCCTGTAAGTAAGAGTAAGGAGGGAAAAGAAACAAACATTGGTTTAGCTCTGTTAGCTCACTGTGTCATAAGTCACCCTGCCTTTCTTCTGCTCCATCGTGCAGTTTTCATGCCTGAACTTTATTGGAACATCAGTGTCTGAGTGCAGCAGAAAGTTTGAAGGGTGCCTAACTGTACCCTTGGCTTTGGTGGCACAAGATAACGCTGCGTTTGGACTCCAGGGGCTTTGAACAAAGAGTCATGGCGACCGATGATTTAAAACTGATCTGTTACAAAGTTTGCAGCAAAGATCAGAGGCAGGCGTTTTTTGGTTCTGTATTATTGTGCAAAAAATTTTACACACATTTTAAAAAAAATCCTTCATAAAAATATTGAATTTGATGCATCTTTACTTGCTGCAATGCTCACATCTGGTTTAAAACCTTGAATCTCCACATTAAAGTGTTCTATACTAAATTATATGTGCCTTTTACATGTGCAATAATGAGTTTGAAAATGAAACGTCATGTGATGATCCTTCCCAAGAAGACATTTGCTTGCCTCTAATCCAGCTCTTGTGATACCATTCTGCTGATCAGCACCTTCTCTTTACATCACCTTCATACATTTCTTGCCGTTATTAAATATTCATTTTTTTTTCTATGCTTAAATATTTGCTTTACTTTCTCTTTCTTACTGGTCCAGTGTAAGTGATGGATATGGATGGAGATGGCAGTCCACAGGCTGACATGAGCAGCAGAGTAGCAGACAAACAGAGAGGGGACCTGTCTGTATGGATATTGCACAGTGCCTTAATGAAAGCCACGCTGCACGTGTAATTAGTGCACAATACCAGTCTGGCCCTGCGACAGAAGATCTGTGTCAGTGTGTGCAGGATTATGTAATAGCAGCTGCCATGGCTGTCAGAGTGCACCGCTGCTCTGCCATTAACTTGACTTATGTTCGGGGCTTTATTACAGAGTCCTACGTCATCTCTTCTTCAGCGTCATGCTTCATGCATTGCACTGAGTTTTAGCAGCTTGACTGGTCTGTTTCACCAACTGTTGGCATCTGACAGACACTGGATTTAAACTCCTGAACTGAAACTCCCGCGCAAAGTGTTACAAGTTTGGTTTTGACCACTTTTTGAGACCCAACCTCTTCATCTGACGCCTGCTCTCTGCTATAATCCCTCCCTTGCTGATGTCACTCCATACCTCCCCTGCAGCTTTCTGCATCTCAATCAAAGGCAAAGAGCAAAGTGAACGCACTCGGAGAACAGAGCAGCTGCAGTGTGTTGGGCCTCTGTGTGTGAGGCATGTTGATGTCAGCACAGAGGAGCTCTCTCTGTCTCTCCAGCCTCAGTGCCAGTCGGTCTTGTCTGGTTGGCTCCAGCAGTGACAGACTGACTTTTTTGCTTGCTCCAGTTCTAATAAAGAAATTCATCTCTCATCTGAAGTTCAGTGGGCCAGCATGGTTCCTCTGAGAACCAAGATCCTGGATGATAAATGAAAGTCGGGAAGAGGAGCCTCACTGACTCCCAGAGTCTTTTTCAGACGTGCTCGAGGCTCAAAATGAGAATGCAAGGGATTCCCAGCATCTGATTAAGCTGCCAAACATGAGCTCAGAAAAGAAGAATATCGTTTTTATCACTGTAGTTCGTCCTGAATCTGAGCTCACGTGAATAAATCACAGCCAGTGAGTGACTGTGAGGAGTCTTGATAGGAGACTGAGGTGTCCACAGCAGAGTCTTTGATCAGGACAAGTGATTTTATTATTCTACTAAAAAATAGACGATTGGACAAGAGTTATTGTGTGAATGTTTATGAAGCATTCACACTATTGTGATCCATTTTTCTTCCGTACATTTTTCGGTGTGATTTTTGTCCTGCAGTTTTCAAACTATTTCAACAAATCATAAATCAAAACTTTCAGCTCTTTCAGGACAATCCTGTTATGACTTTTGGTTTTGGTGCAACTTTAGCTTTTTGAAATATTTAGCCTATGCTGCCATTTTTTTCTCTCAAAGAAAAGGAATTATAAAAAGCTAATTTTATATCTGTCTATTCTTTAGACCTGTTTACAACCTTTTACTGCTCCTTTCACATTTTCTTCTGCTTCAGCGTCTTTCGGATTCCTTGTGCAAATTTAAGCTTTTTTCCAGCTATTTTCAGTCAATTTCAGCTGTTTTGCGCTCCTTTCAGATTCTTTCTGCTAACGACAACATTTTGGTTCTTCCTCCAACTTCTTTATGCTCATTTCAGCTTATACCCCTTTCATCTTATTTCTGCAAGTTTCAGCTTTTTCTGCCATTTCAGCTACTAGCTGTTTTATGCTAATTTTAGCTTTTTAGCTAATTCCACATTTTTTGCACTCATTTCAACTTTTATCAGCCCAATTCAGCAAAAATGTGCGCTCTCCATTTCCTTCTGGTAATTTAAGCTTCTTTCTGCATTTTTAGCTACTTTTCAGCTGGTTTTTTTTTTGCTACTTTCAGCTTTTTTCAGATAATTTCCACTTTTTTGTACTCATTTTTACCCCTTTCAGCCTAATTTGACAAACATGTTATTTCTGCTGTCTACTGCTAGCTTGTTCTACCTTTTCAGCTACCTTTTTAAGCTAATTTTAGCTGTTTTCAGATAAATTCAAGTTTTTCTGGGTAATTTTTGCTACTTTCATCCTAATTAACTTCTTTATGGTAATTTCAGCTTGTTATGCACCTTTCAGCTTTTTTCTGCTAGTTTCAACCTTTTCTGCTATTTTAACTACTATTTAGCTGTTTTTATGCTTATTTTAACCTTTTCAGCTAATTCCACATTTTGAGCTCATTTCAGCTCTTTCCACTTCCTTCTGGTAGTTTAAGCTTTCTGCCTTTTCAGCTACTTTTCAGCTTTTTTGTCGTTGTTGTTGCTAATTTCAGCTATTTTTAGCAAATTTCCTAATTTTTATGTTTATTTTTCCTTATTTAAACCTAATTCGGCAAAAATATGTTCTTTCTGCTTTTTTTCTGCTAATTAATACGTTTTTCCATTTCAGCTAGAATTCATCATGTTTTTTTACTTAATTTTAGCTGTTTTTCAGCAAGTTCTTCAACTAAGCATTCACACGTCATTTTTGCAGGAAATGCACTTTCTCTAGTTGTTATTGTTGTCTGTACTTTATATGTTCTGTCTGGAACAGGTGTCTCTTAATGAGACTAGCCTGTATTAATAAAGGTTGAACGAATGAAAATGAGTGTGATTTATGTTCTGCTGCAGAACACGACACTTTCAGAGCTGAAAAAAAGACGTTCAAATTAAAGATCCAGCATTCCTTGATTATGACACAGTTTTAGACAAAGGTCATCTTATGTTAAGAAATGTAAACCTAAAAATTGTGTGATGTGTGAAAATTGTGATATTGCAAAATATCACACTCTGAGTACGAGTTGCAGATTACTCTTAACTACTAATTTATCAAATTAACAGAGTTAAAGTCACTTTTGTGTTTGCTAAGGTCAATTAGTTGTGGCAGCCACCTTGGACTGACTTGACTCTGAAGGTGATCAGTTTTGCATCCAGTGATTAAATTCTGACAGTTTCCTTAAATTTAAGCCCGTAGAGTTCTCAGAACAGAGTTCAGAAAGCCACTGAACTTTTCTCTGCTTCTCTTAGAATAGCTCCTCCATTCATGCCACAGTTCAGTGTTTCCTGAGTCCATGTTGGATCTGTGCCTACATGAACGCCCTCTCTTGAGTGTCCAGCTTCATTGGAGGGGAGGACTTAAAAAGAGTCGGGTTAACAAATACAGGGGTGGTATCTGTACCGATCTTTGAGACGGGTGAAACCGGAGCTGAAATTGTAAAGAGGAAGAACAAACTTGGCGTAATCTGCTCGGTCGCTGATGCTCTAAAAGAAAAAGAAGCGAGGTGGATGATGGGAGGGGTTCGGTGTGACTCCCCTTCCTTATACGGTCACATGCAGCCCTGGCACTATGTCAGAAAGTCCAGTCAGGGAAAACATACTCTTTTAAAGCTTGCATAAACACACCGGGCCCATAAGCCTGCTCCCCCCCCCCCCCCTCCTCCCTGCAGCCCCTGCTGGGGAAGAGGAAAGGACAGGGGAAGAATGCTGTGAAATCTGAAAGGGAGTACGTAGATAAATTCCTGAGCTTTCAGTGCGCAGAGAGACTTTGCACCTCTTATTACATCAGGACATGTGATGCTGGCAGCTCAGAAGCTGCTCTGCCTGCAGACGGGTCTGGATGGGTGGGACGGGTGGGTTCAGGGACATATTTGGACAAAGAATCGAAGGAAATCAGGATGTGAGGTAGACACGTTCCTAATTGCCTCACACATCACGGAGCTTTCCGAACTCATTGGCCTTCAGAACAACACAAATAAAAACAAGAAGTCTCTTAATAAAAATATGCTTTACCACAAAGACACTACTGAAATCCTAAATTATAAAACTGAGTCCCCGGTGTCAAGATTCTTGCAGAGGCAGTAATAAAACCTGAGTTGGTGAAAGTCACTAAACTTTTGTCTGACTTGTGTCTAAATGTTGAATCTATCTGGTGTTTTTGACCCCAGGGGATAACTATGATGTCTGCGCCATTTGCCTGGATGAATATGAAGAGGGAGATAAACTCAGAGTCCTGCCATGTTCTCATGGTGAGTCGTCTGCACCAGACATCTTTACATTTTCAAAAAGGAAAAATTACACGTATTTAATCAAGAATCACTGTAGATGTCTTCATATGTGCTTTTAAAGTGAAATATTGTCTTGCACTTCCTTTTAACATTTAGCATGTTACATTTTAGTATACATTTTTAACTGCATTTTTACTGTAGTTTATTGTTGTCATTGTTTACCGTTATTGTTGTCTGTACTTTTTATGTTCTGTCTGGAATAGGTCCCTCTTATAAATGAGTCCTTGTAGCTCAGTGAGACTAGCCTGTATACAGTAAATAAAGGTTGAATGAAAAAGTATGACAAACAAAGAAAACGCTAATTCAACTTTAATTATAGAGTACCGGTAATTTACAAATTGTGAGTCTTTTAAATGTTATAAAACCAGATGCGTTTGTTGTTCCTAGCTTACCACAGCAAGTGTGTGGACCCCTGGCTAACCAAAACTAAAAAGACGTGCCCGGTGTGCAAGCAGAAGGTGGTCCCCTCGCAGGGCGACTCCGACTCGGACTCAGAGGAGGGGGAAAGCAGCCCCGAGGAGAACGAGGAAGTGTCTGAGAGCACGCCGCTGCTCCGCTCCCTGGCGTCCACCAGCGCTCACACCTTCGGCACCATATCAGGAGCGTCACACTCCGAACGGGACCAGGACTCCTCGGAGTACGAGGATGACGAGCTGGACACCAGCGACAGCGAGGAGGAGGTTACCGTGGAGACCGTGGTGGTGCAGATGCAGCAGCCGTGCTCCGAGGACCACGGGCAGGATTTGCCCCGAGCTTGATGGACCTGTTGGCTGCACATGTCACCGACTGGACTAATAATGGAGCTCTACTGCACTCTACTCATAAAATTACACAAGTGGAAAAGTAAGGTTCTAAACACAAAGCTTTACAAAGTTCAGTAGAAGCGCCATCTGTTTATGAAGTACGAATCAGAATAAGTGACTCTTAACCTTTGATTATCTCCTGCCCTACAAGAATATATGCTGTAGATATGTTCACGCACCATGGACTCAGCTGAAGGCCTTTGCAGCACCAGCTTGGTGAAACTGAACAGTCTGAGTGCAGCAGCAGTTAAATCACAGCAACGTTGTCACCAGTTTATTTCTAACCTGATGTTTGAAGGAGCTGCAGACTTTTGTGCCACAGTTCATCTGTTACAATAATGGACGTCCGAGTGAGTCAGAGGAAAAGGAGCGTGCTCTTCCTGTCACATGAAGTGAGGGTTACGCTAAACTTTTGTTTCATTTAACAGTTACTGGAAGGATTACCACCGTAACAGATGCTTAAATCATCTCATTTTATTACGATTTTTTAGATCTAGTTTTTTTGTTTCTTCAGATAAATGTTTGTTGACAAATCCTGTTGCCTTAGTTTTTTTTTTTAACTGTCTTTTTGCTCTCAGATTAAATCAAAATGGAAAAATCCCTGAGAAACTCTTTTGCCTAAAACTTGACAAACATCCCGTTACCCCATCGACCATTTCCAGTTTTCTTGTCTGCATATATTATTCACTGGTGCACATCACGTCTCATTAACTAACTGCAAGTTAAACCACTGACAAGTCCCTTCATGCCGATTTGTTTCATGTTTGTATAGAATTGTAATTCTGAGACGGTCTTGCAGTTACGTGTTCAAACTGCAAGGTATTGTTTATGTTGATTTGTTTATTGTTGTCCGCTGCCTCTTTACTTTCTGCCTGCAGTTGTACAGTGTCATTTAAATAAAAGGGATTTTCTATCCCATTTAGAAGTGTGTGTGTGGTGGTGTGGGTGGGTGGGTGGGGGGGGTTTGAGCATTTGTTCTGGAGCATTCCTTCCATGGAAATTCTGATTTGATGATCAATGTTTCCATGGCAACAGATGATAAATTGTCTTTCCTCACATCTAGGCCACAAGCGAAGCCTCCATTTTTACTCACCTCAAAACCAGTTACCGTAGTTTTCTTTACAGGCTAAACTTTGATGAACCCAAGGATTCTACAAGCTTCTATTCATAATTTCTGTACTCTTGATTTTTATTGGTCTACAGGTCATTCTCAAAAAATTAGCATATTGTGATAAAGGTCATTATTTTCCATAATGTAATGATAAAAATGAAACTTTCAAATATTTCAGATTCATTGCACACCAACTGAAATATTTCAGGTCTTTAATTGTTTTAATACTGATGATTATGGCATACAGCTCATGAAAACCCAAAATGCCTGTCCCAAAAAATTAGCATATTTCATCCCACCAATGAAAGACAAGTGTTTTTAATACAAAAAACGCCAACCTTCAAATAATCATGTTCAGTTATGCACTCAATACTTGGTCGGGAATCCTTTTGCATGAATCACTGCTTCAATGCGGCGTGGCATGGAGGCAATCAGCCTGTGGCACTGCTGAGGTGTTATGGAGGCCCAGGATGCTTCGATAGCGGCCTTAAGCTCATCCAGAGTGTTGGGTCTTGCGTCTCTCAACTTTCTCTTCACAATATCCCACAGGTTCTCTATGGGGTTCAGGTCAGGAGAGTTGGCAGGCCAATTGAGCACAGTAATACCATGGTCAGTAAACCATTTACCAGTGGTTTTGGCACTGTGAGCAGGTGCCAGGTCGTGCTGAAAAATTAAATCTTCATCTCCATAAAGCTTTTCAGCAGATGGAAGCATGCAGTGCTCCAAGACCTCCTGATAGCTAGCTATCTGTCTTACCCTCTTGCTTGAGGGTGTCAATGATGGCCTTCTGGACAGCAGTCAGGTCGGCAGTCTTACCCATGATTGCGGTTTTGAGTAATGAACAAGGCTGGGAGTTTTTAAAAGCCTCAGCAATCTTTTGCAGGTGGTTAGAGTTACGTCGTTGATTCAGATGGTTAGGTTAATAGCTTGTTTAGAGAACCTTTTCATGATATGCTAATTTTTTGGGACAGGCATTTTGGGTTTTCATGAGCTGTATGCCATAATCATCAGTATTAAAACAATATAAGACCTGAAATATTTCAGTTGGTGTGCAATGAATCTGAAATATATGAAAGTTTCATTTTTATCATTACATTATGGAAAATAATGACCATCACAACATGCTAATTTTTTTAGGACCTGTATTTTCCCCCGTCACTTTTTTTTTTTTTTTTTTAAATAAAGGCTTTTTGTGTGCAAACAAACAAGGCAGCAAGGGTTAACTTTTTTTCTGGAATTAGTGTAAAAAGATATTTTTCTAGTACCCATTTCCTTTTTATTATTTTAATCACCTGAGAACTGCTCATTCATGTATGGGTGTGCACGTCTGATTTGTAGCTTGAAGCAGCATTTTATTAGTAATGACTAAAACTGCTCTGGTTGGTAGAGATTAATTCTTTACTTTGTACATTTCAGGAAAAAAAAAAAAACAGAAGGTAATCCTGGATCATTTTCCAGATGCACTTAGTTTCAACAACTACATCTTTGCTCTTAAACATTTTAAGACGATTTAAGACATCTTTGCTCCAATCTGGAAACTTGAGCAAGGCCCTTTATGATAAAAGCTTTATACTGGGTAGTAACTACAGTATACATTAAAAATTCTGTTTAAATACGGTAGTTTTGTTACATGTGAATGAAATAGCTCGATCTTAAGAGTTTTCCATAAATGTTACCTAAACTTTAAAAGGTGGCCGGTTAACGCATACCGGTATGTTTGGCAACACAGTGGATCAGTGAATCGTGCTGTTGCCTCACAGCAAGAAGGTACAGAGTTCAATCCTCAGGTTGGACGGAAGTCATTTCTGTATAGTTTGGATGTTCTCGTGTTTGTCAGGCACTGGTTTCCTCAGTCACAAAACATGCATGTTGGCTGCACTCTGGCCTCCACTTGCAGAGATCTGACCACATTGAGATTTGCCTGGTTAAATAAAGGGTTTGTACAGTACATGGTGGTGGCCATCTTGAATTTTGGCATGGCAACAATTTTTGATAATCTTTCTTGCCACCTAGCTGCAGCCATACACCAAAATGAAGGTCGGTATCTCACTTATTTTTCAAGTTATTGTGTTCACAACATATGACGGCGAACGGAGGGCATCTCCAATTCTCCCTTTTCACTCTGCGATGGGGGACGATCTGCTTATAAGCAGTTAGAGCAGTCAGCCAATTTAAAAATGTAAGAGGCACAGATCTTAAAATAGCCACAAATCAGAAGACACCCTAACATGAAAAACCTTAGAGAGACTCTGGTAAAGAACAGACATTAACCATTCGTCTGGTTGGAATAAATTTATTTGATCTGTTTGTAAACAAGGTGATAAATCAATTTATGGCATTTCTTGGTTTATGCATATGACAGATGCATTAAAGACTGTATCCCAGATGTAAGAAGAAAAAGAAAAAAAAAAAAGTGGTGAGGAAAGGAAATAAACAGATCAGCAGAGGACTTTTAAACAGTGTTTTAAATGGAGTACACATATCCCACAAGGCCTAAACAGTGGAGCTGAAGCTACAAAAGACAAAAAGTGCCGATGAAATGACTTCTTAGCCAGCAGTGGGTAAAATCCATCAAACAGATCTCTACATTATGGCACAGGATACACAGGTTCTGTAGTTAAGTTTCAACAAGACAACCATGAGCATCTTTGTTCCAACTACCATCTCCCATTGAGTGTCATTTCTACTTTTAAAAGTTAAGTTTTTAGTCAATTGGACATTGCCTTTAGCAGTACTGAGCATGGACAGACCGAGGGATACCCCAAAGCTCAATGACTAGAATAAAAAGGCAAATTTATTCCACAGTCGTGTAGCTAACACAGCACGGGTTTGTACAATGCAAACAAAAACAAGAATTATATTCAGGTTCTTCCACCCATACCTGAAGATAAGAGAATTTGCCTGCAGTATTACCTTCTTGTTACCGATTCCTTCGTCAGAAAAACAAAAACAGGAAAAAAAAAAAAATGGTGATCCCTCACATGATTCAGAGCACTTGTAAACACCCGAGCTGCAACTACACTTGGTCCTATATAAAGAAATAAAATCTAACCGAACACACTCCAGATGGCTACAAGTTGGGACATCTACTGTCCAAATAAATGACAGCCTTTAAAGAAAAGGGGGGGAAATTAACATTACATGGCAAAACTAAACAAATGCCTGAGTCAGCGTTACTGTGGAATGTCCATGGATTTTGTGTAGTGCGGGAGGTTGTAATGCTAGAAGACAGACCATCAGCTTGTGAGTGACACCAACGCGAGCAAAGCTGGTTTATGATGGCCAACTGAACTGGTCCCTCGCACAGACAAGCCCTCCTTTTATAAAGTCGTTTTCAGGACAGTACAGTGACTCAAGAGGGAGGGGGTGGTAGTGTTTGTTTATTGAAAGACCTCAAAGAAAGAAGTATAGTGTCAGATTTTTGCCAACAATTCAGGGAAAACAATATACTAAAAAATAAAAAATAAATTGTGGGGGGGGGGGATCCGTCAGAAATGACAGTGGTCCTAGATATGCAGTCTCCCCTCCTGGAAATGGAGGAAATAAAGGAAGACATGACTAGTTTTGTTAAGAGCTCAAGTGCTCCAAAGGCATGGGCTGCTCAAGGAGGGAGTGCGCATGATTGCGCCTGGGGGGGGGGTTTGGGAAAAGGTACCATTAAAAAAAAAAAAAAAAAAAAGCAGCAAGGGATTTCTACTACAAAAATTGGCGCTATAGCTTCCATGGATTTGTGTTTTCTGCCAGAATATACGTTTTGCTGGTCTTGAGTACAGATTTGTCACGACACCCTGTTTAGCAACATGCTCATTTTTGCAATGGATCAACTTAAAGAGTTCTTTAAAGGAGATAGAAGATTACATAAAGCAGGTGGGGTGAAGGTTCAGGGGAACATGTCAACAAAAGGATAAATGAGGAGAAAGGTAGGGTAGGAAAAGAAAAAATAATATAAACTATGCTAGGACTGGAAGTGGTGTGAAATGCAACAAGGTGGTAAGGGTGAGCTGCTAGCTGGGTACAGGTTGCTTTAGTATCCGGACTTCCTCAGGTACTCAGCCATCACATAAGCTTTCTTGTTGAGCTGCCCTCCATGGATACCTTCCTTCCCCATGACAAAAACCAATGCTGGAGTACACAAAAGGACAAAAATTAAAAATTAAAAATAAATGAATGACAACAGCAGGGATGAACAATGAAACATTTTCTTCTGTCTTAGCTAAACGTGGGCTACATTGTTGGGGCAGAGTCCGGACCCTGCATTATTAAGAAATGCTCCTGGGATGTTATTTATTGGGTTTGCCTGGGGGGGAGAGAAGAAACGTGGGTTTGACAGCAACTTTTTAGTCCATTTTTCTGAGTTTTTTTTTTTTTTTTTTAAGTTTTTGTTTTCCTTTTAATTTTTTTTCCTCTTCCTCTACTACACCACATTTACTACGTCTAACTAAAACCCTGAATCCCTCAAGTATTTTGCCATCGAGTATGCCTTCTTATTCAATCCGCCTCCATGGACCCCTTCTTTTCCCATTACCAAGACCAAGACTGAAAGAAAAAGAGACAGAAGGAACATTTAGAAGGAGTGTGGAAATCACAAGTGAAGAGAAAAGCACACAGCCACAGAGCAGCAGACAGGACAAGACGGACACAAAAAGATAATGACAAAGGAGCAGAGCTTTGAGTCTGAATGCTGTGGGTCAAAACCTTTTTCTTATCAGAGCTGCTGGTGATGAAGAACGTTCAAATAAAGCAGTGTGAGCCCAACAAGGTAACAGATAATAAGTGCAAACCTAATTAAGTTGACACTTGTTAGTATTAGAAGTAAAGCTGTAAGTTTTAGTTGTGTTTTTTTAACTCAGTTGAGTAAACCGATTGATTTGACAGCATACCAATTAAAAAATAAAAATAAAGTGTGTTGCACTGCTGTAATCTGCCAATTTACACTCCTCTCACAGGCAGCTGCACAAGCCAGCAGTGTCTCAAACAGCCAGTGTAGATTTGTCAAATGTGTCATTTCTTTTGCAATTATGACAGCCGTGTTCTACCTGCTTATTCTAGCCAAACTGAGGATCACTGCTAAACGTAAGCCAATTTGTAATGTTTAACAAGATTTAAGCTTGTTCTGAAATATACCTCAAGCCTTCTTGTACTCTGAGAAAGATTAAATGTACTCAGTTTAACAGTTGTATGAAGGACTTGACAAGAGATGAGCAAGTAATGGTATCTAGAGGTGGTTAATGATTCATTTGTTTTAGTAAATGATTATTTTGTTCAGGCATCAGCTTCAAACCACAAGATAACTTGTAATGATTTGTTTAGTAAAGCCATAAAAGCCTTGCCTGGGGGTTTCTTTACAAACAGGTTGAGCACAGAACAGGTTCTTCAGGAATATGTATTACACAACATGCCAGCAGCAAAGAAGAATAAAAAGCAAAGGTTCTGACAAACCAAACTAAAGAAACACGTGCACAAGCATGCTTGGGGTACCTCTCCTCAATACATGTGAGAACCCTTAAAGCGCCCAACAACATGTGCAGGGGGACAGACTTGTAGTTTAGAGACAGTAGGAGAGAGTGTGTAAATTAAGAGGGACAAACACATGCAGTTCAGAAAAGTTTAAAGGAAATCCTGGGCCACAGATTCAGGCCAGTATGTAGAAAACGGGAACCAGTTCGTCCTTGTAGCCTCACCTGTAAGTAACAGAGCACAGAGGCTCGTGCACACATTAAAAGAACTGGCACAACCAAACTGACTGGCCTCTGCTTATGCTCAAGAAAGTTTAGGAGCAATGTACAGGATTGTAAAAATAATAAGAAGAATAGGCTCAAATGATCTTACACAGTGTCAATAAAAAAGTAGACTACAGACCACTCTTAAAACATAAAAAAACTTATCTTAAATAAAATACCTATTGCTTTAACTGCTCAAAAATTCCCTTAGGGCACTGACAATAATACAAAAGGGGTGTGGTCCAAACTAGTGTTTCAATCACGTTTGCTTTGTTTTGGCCAACCATTCCAACTTTAAATTGATTTTCAAATGAAAGGCATCATTATAATTTGGATTTGAAATACTTAAAAAAAAAGTTCTTGTCAAACTCAAATGGACAAATCAAAAAAAAATTTAAGTAACCATGTCAGTGTGAACCAAAATCATTTCAGACAAATATTTCACTTTTTGAAGTAAAGGTGGTTTAGCCTTAATCCGAAGGATATTAAATGCTTTTTTGATATTGCTAACAAAAAGCATTTGAACTGGACTGTAAAACAAGTCACTAAATTGTTTACATTGAATATAACTGCACTACTAGCTCAATGATTATTTTGTTGCATTTTATGCTTCTTAAACAGTTACATATACATTTGACACTCAACCCTACTCATTCCTCATTTCTCCACTGGAATCAAGTGCTAAAAAGGCAACATCCAGTTACCCACAGATTTTTTTAAACATATATTGAGGAAAGGTGCTTTTAACACCTGTACAACATGCAGTCACAACACATCAGCTAGAACAGATCAAGTAAAGGGACTATATCCAAGCAACTGAAGCCATTACATTAAAAATTTAAAAAGAAATGAAAGTGCTCACCTTTGACTGCTTTGCCTAAAGAAATATTGTATGTTGGCTCCCCTGCTTGACTCTTTGTCCGCATGTCCATTGTCCAGTCACCGTCAACTAGGAGGCTGTCTCTGATTACTGAGCACTTTTTACTGCCTAAGGTCAGCCCATTGGTGAAGAATGTCTCCCGCTCCTTTCCTATTAATACGTCGATTTCACCAGGCTGAAAGAATGCAGGAAATAAAACAGTTAAATTGGTTTTTCACACATTCAGGAAGACAGATTTATGATTCTCATTTGAAATTTGACAGTTAAAAGATATGCAGCTGCACTCATCTGGATAATTTGCTTTAATACTTTGGATATTTAATTCAACTGCAACTCAATAGTAAAACTTAAGTAAAAATATGTCAACAAACAGCTACGCTAAAGCAGACAATCAGCTGCACCACCCTAGACTTAGTTGTCCACTTCACAACACAATGAAGTGGCATTAAAATACAAGTATGTAGTTTGTAGTAGTTTGCATTTTTTTTTCTTTCAAATATTCAGTATACAAAAATACTTAAAAAACACACAGAGTATGTATTTAAAGGGTAAAGTCAAAAACATAAAAACCTGAGAACAGGATACACTGTTCATGATTAGAGATAAAAACAAGCCACACTTTAAGCAATTTGTCATTATGACAAATTAGAAAACTACACCATAGATCTAACTAAATGCATTAGCTTAGAGAATTTCTGTCCACCAATGTCCTGAAATCTCAGAAACCCAACTGCAGGAACACAATGCTCAGAAACCTGATAGGTTAGCTAGCACCTCTTAACAAACATGAAAACTTTCAAGCAGGAATTTTACTGCTTGGATTAGCAGGGATGCTAAATGCACAGGCCTCGCTGGCTAACGGCTTCTTTTCCCTTACTTAAAAAAAAACTTAATTCATAAAACTGTTTTCACTTTGCGAATTTTCATAAACGTTGTCAAATTGTCGGCTCAGTCCTCCAAAATTAATGCATTTAGCCGAAACCTCCCCCCAAACATTTTGATGCAACATCACGCGATTACTCAAGGAAAACACCTCGGTTTATTACGGACACTCCCAAGAGAAGCCTGAACAAAACGCGGACATGGATGGCTCAATGAATTTATTTATACACAAGGCCTCAGAAAAACTAGATAATTATTTTGTAAATAGTGACCTTGCATTTCTTTTTTTTTATATACATTTGCTTAGAACAAAAAAGAAAATGGAGGCTCAAAAAAAAAATTGCCGCAGTTGACCGGTTAGCTTTAGGAAACTTATTTTAATAAAATACACTCGATTAAGCCATAAACAATAGTCAACAGTGTTTCGCTGCAACAATGATAACGATTAACGTTTTTGTTCAGCTTTAATGGACAAAAATTATATAAAGAAAAACTGAGAGTGTATCCGCCATTTTGAAGAAAAGGGGCGGTTGTGACGGCGTGATTTCATAGAAGCGGACCAGGAGAAAAAGACCCCAGTACGACAACACGTCAGACACTGGAGCCAGCCAGAAGTAAGCTAAATGGTGCTAACGTGGTATAAATCTTCAAAAATACTGGCGACTGACAATTAAACTATGAATATCCAATACAGCCAATATATTCAGTTAGAAAACAATTCCGTTAGAAATGAATCCCGAGCTTGATCACGCCTCAGCTACGTAGGCAGGTGTTTTGCTGAAAAAGGCACCCTTGGAAAATTCTAGCAGCCTAGCCTGATATAAGGAGCACCTTGTACACTCCCAAAACAAAAAAAAAAATTATACAGTGCTGAAGAACGTAAATCAGTGACACTTGTCCTTGAAGCATTTTACGGATTTTCACACGCGCTTCCCTTTCGTGGGGAAGGGGGTGAGAGCTTCAACGGTGGGAGTGCGTTTTTCGACACAACACCGGTATCACACGCTAGTTAGCGCCGCTAAACTGTTAGCGGTTTTAGCTTTAGTCCACTGAGCGCTTAAATCAATAGCTTGGGGCTACATTGAGTAAATTACATTTTTGTTCACCGAAATATAAATTTAAAAGTCAATATTCCACAGCAATTACAGACAATATTAAATGCTGATTAAAAATACATTCCACGCCTGCATGTGTGTGTGTCTGACCACCGGATGCCATGTGTACCGCACTCATTCAACAAGGCCTGGCTATGCAGATAAACGTACAACCATGCAAAATGTACATTTCCACCTTTTCCAAGCTACATATACCGAAACAAATAGCATACTAACCGTCATGTTGGTAAAGATACCGCCGGCAAACGATGCCCAGACGTATTTAGCGTCTGCGTACCCAACAATGGCTGCGTCCTGGCAGCTGCCATCAGCCATCAGGTTGTCCACGTAGCTTTGCCAGGACATGTTAGTGATATTAGTGCTAGGGTGGGATAAAGTACAGTTAAACCACAATCGTCTCTAAAATGAGGAAAAGCTGTGTTTATCGGTGGCTAACGAGTCTCCAGCAAGCAAAGCTCCCCGGTTCCGTTACGTCCCGGCTTTCTTCTGGTCCAAGCAACGAAGAGAAGCCGCTGCGATCAGACAGGAGCTTGGGTGTAGTCCTGACTATATCCCTCCGCCTGAGTTGTTGTTCGTCATGCTTCCTTACTCCACAAAAAACTACGCGGCGGAGGAATACCACCGTTGATTTCCAATGAAATAAACTCCACAGACTATTTCTTCAAGTACCCCAGCCTTTTTGCTTCCTCTAAAAACTTCATTCTCATCATGCATTTTAAATACCATTTTTAATGAAAGCGTTGTTTAAATTCCAGGCTTTTAAAATACATTTCATTACATTTTTTATACCAAGCCACAAGGTTTAATTTGTTCCACAAGCGCTTGTGCTCAGTGCAGGATCTAGGTGGATGTGGGCTCCTAAACTGAAGATACTTCCTGGGCCCTATGGACATTATTTATTTAACACTTACAGATTACAATTCTGGGTATGGACAGATTGATTTCCAGATTTCTTGTCATATAGAATGGGGACAGCCTAGAAAGGCAGGGTCTTGCTTTTCTATCAACTTTAATGCAGCCCAAACTGCAATGTTTACCCCCATAAATTTTGTATCAAATTGACTGGCTTGGCACCGTGATGTGTACTTTTACTTTTATTGGCATTTCAGACAGACTAAAGTCATTAAGTAAAACTAATAATAGTACTATCTTGACTTTGAAACGGTAAAAGGTTTGAAGCATTTGTCCAACCATAAACCAAGTGGTTGTTAAGTGAGGCTTGAATAAATTACAACGCATTCCAGTGATGTGAGTCTTGCACATTTTTTGGGAAATAAGTAGAATAAGGCATTTGAAAAAGATCAGTTCATCAAAAACAACTGTATTTTGGGACTCACTAAAGCTTGGAGGTTTGGGCTACCGCCCTGTAAAGCCTTTTGGAAAGTCCAGCCCTGCTTGTGCTAGACCTTAAATCATTCAATTACAACGCAGTCACCACACAGACATGGACACAATCAATGCAGATGTCTGTAGAAAAGCACCCTAATTAAAACACAGAATGAAAAAAAAACACCAGTAGATAATTTATCATTTATATAAACCCATGGTGCACTTTGGACAAATTAACCAACATTTTATAATACTGCACTTAAAAAACAACGCCAGGGGTGGAGAGTTTTTTTTTACTTGAGTAGTTCTTTCATTTGTGTTTGAATGTTTAGAACGAGGCCATAACCTGATCAAAAGTGTCTTCCATTGAAAAGAAAGTTAAAGTAAATGTTAGTTTCAACCTGTTTTTGTCTTTGCTCATTTTAAACTGGGATGTTCCCTTGGAAACACCTCATATATAGTGTTCAATAAAAACAAATCTGCATATGTGGAGTTTAAAGCTTCTTCACGATCCTCAAAGATATTTAGGTATATGCGTTTGTGCCACTTTGGTATTTCTGATTGTATGGTACATTTAATTTACATGCTACATTAAAATGATCTAACACACACACACACACACACACACCTGCTGATGTCAGTGTCGGACATTTCATAAATGTAAGTTATCAAATCAAACCATTTACTTCAGGACATTATCAAACGAGCAGGCCTGTGTGTCTGTTTATATTTACTCCATGGAAACCATTAATAAGGAAACCACATGACTCTTATGGTCTAGTTTTTCCCTCTCCTTTGTCGCCTGGTTTGTTTTCGGACGAGTTGAAAACTGCAGTTGTTTAGTATCTTTATCCTGGAAATGTGCTGCGTGTCCATTGTTTATTCCAAGATCTCATATTTTGAAAAGTTTGATGTGCTTATTTTAAAATACACAGATTCAAGGATTTTTTATTGTCATTCACATCACATGTGGTTCATGTGGTGGAACGAAACTATGTACATAGGGTCCCAGTTACATCCAACAAAAATACAAATTGTAAAAAAAACACAAAAAAAACAGTAATAAGATCCGAGACATGATACGGATATATGAATATGGACATTGTTCAAATCTTATCAATTAAAGCAAACAAAAATCATTACCGGTAGTTTGTGACTTTCATAACCAAACTACACTATCTATAGACTGAATTCAAGTTGAGTGGATCAAAAACATGGAAATGTGAATTTAAGCAGACATAACTGCAAAGTCATTTCCAAATACACACACACGCAAGCTTTGCCCGTAAATTACTCATTTGCATAAACGTTTTGTTTTTGACTTTTAGGGATTTTTGCACAACTCCTAAAACCTTTAAACTTGACAGATTTGTCCTTCAGAAACGTCTTCCTGCTTCTGTCTGCAGAAAGTGTTTGGCAAGTTATTCATTGACCTAATCCGAGGGACTGAACCTGTCCGTCAGGCAGACACACCCTGATACTGATCATTGGCTGGTGGCCGTTTCCATGGTCACCTGGGTTTTGAACCTGTGCTGAGTCAAAATGGTTGGACTTGCAGCTCCAGTGCTCAGACTGCAAATGAGTCATGCAGCTCCAGCAGAGCTAACTTGTTTTCTTCAGTAAAAGCTTCATTTTGAGCAAAGTGGTTAGTTTGTTGTTTTTAAAACAGCTTCTCAAACTTTTCCCATTTTTTTTAACATCTCCACACATTCAAAACATCCAGGTTTAGAGGACACTGAACTACAGGTCTCTCTTTTAAGCGAGTCCTCGTGACTCAATGAGACTAACCTGTACAAATAAAGATTGAATGAATGGACTGTTTCGGCTGTAGTGTCATTGTTTGGAAGCCATTAATAGCCTTGTCTTGTTTACTTTCGTGTCTCGTGACCGAAGAACAAAACCCTTCAGTTAAAGCCGATGCTTGCTTATGATCAAATGTCACCAAAGTTACGAACACACAAAAACAGCTCCAGATTTTCCCAGTAGAGATATCCTTTTTTTATTAATTTATGTAAATGTTTGCTTCTAATCCTCAAATATTCAAGTTAGTCAAAAGGTAAACTTGGACACCCCCCCACCCCCACCCTTCCTTTGTGTGTGTGTGAAATTTTGGCTAATTTTATTATGGTTTCACACTCACTTTTGGGCAACAACAACAAAATGACTGGATTAATATAGTTGTTGTTGTTGTTTTTTTGTAATATCAGTTGGCTATAGCAGCCATTTTAAATTGGGTTAGCTCCAAAGCTAATCAATTATATATGTATGACAGATTAATATTTCTTGACAAATTAATTAAAATTCCTCTATATTTTGCTAACAGACAGACATACAGAACCTATTCCTAATAGTTAAAAGCAAATAACTTTAAACAGTACTGTAATCTGCAATCCCAACATGTGTTGGAGAGTAGCCTCAGCGACTACCACAGCAAATTGTGGGTCACTTTCTGCCAAGTCACAGATAGTAAAAATTATTTAAACCTAATCTGAAAACATCAACCTTCATGATCACCTTAAATATTCTGCAGGTGGTTCTGCAGCCAAAACCAACTCAGACCATTTTTCACCACAACGGGTCAAAATCATTTATTCATGACTAGTTCTCTCTTTGTCCTGCGTCGCAGCAGAAAAAAGAGAACAATTTATTTTTTACTCACGTAAAGCCTCTCAGCAGTAGACCTCTCAGTCGAAGACCATGAGGAGGGAAATGTGTCAGGAGACAGAGGGAGAAGAGGAAAGTCAAGAATGTAGGACTGAGGGTTGCAACACATAATGTGGGGATAATGACAGGCAACGGTAGAGAGCTGGCTGACATGATGCAGAGAAGGAAGGTAGATGTTTTATGTGTCCAAGAGACCAAGTGGAAGTGCAGCAAGACTCACAGCATTGGAGCAGGGTTCAAACTGTTTTACCATGGTGTGGATAGAAAAAGAAATGGAGTAGGAGTGGTCCTGAAGGAGGAGTTGGCAATGAATGTAGTAGAGGTGAAATACGTGTCAGATAGGGTGATGTGCCTTAAGGTTGAATTATGACCCTTTTCCACTAGCACCTGTATGGAATGGTTCGACTTGCCTCTGCACGGTTCCAAGGCTTTTCCACTAGAAAAAAGCGTATGACCAGTTGCCGAGGGAGGAGGTGTGGTATTGCATGAGGACATTTGGAGTGGCAGAGAAGTATGTTAGACTGATACAGGACATGTATGAGGACAGCAGAACAATGGTGAGATGTGCTGTAGGAGTGACAGATAGCTTCATTTGCTCTGGCGATGGACCGACTAACAGATTCAAGATTCAAGATTCTTTATTTGTCATTCACAACATGTGGTACATTTGGAACAGAATTGTGTAAGCAGGGTCCCAGTTACATCATACATATTAAAATGTGAAAGAAAAACAGTAATAAGATCAAAGATATGAACTAAGAAAAATGTTAACTAAAAAAGAGTAAGCACTAATAGCATAAAAACAATACACCGAACAGCAGCACGAACATGAGTCTGTGAGAGCAGATGAATACGAATGAACACAGTAACATGAAACAGATCAGCAGCAACATGATGTGAGTTTCACAGTGATTATTCTGCTTAGAGATTCATAAGTCTAACAGCTTCAGGGTAGAAGCTGTTCCTCAGTCTAGTGGTTCCACACTTAATGCTCCTCATCCTGAGGGGAGCGGGGCAAAAAGTGTGTGTGCTGGGTGAGTGGGGTCCATCGTGATGCAGGTGGCCCTCTTCCTGCATCTGGAGGGGGAGGCTGACTCCAACAGTCTTCTGTGCAGCTTTCACCACTCTCTGCAAAGCTTTTTTTTTGTAGCTGTGCAGCCTCCATGCCACACATTGATGCTGGAGCACAGGATGCTCTCCACTGCACACCTGTAAGAGGAGGTGAGGACTGAGCTTCCCAGTCCAGCTCAGCTGCTTGAGGAAGTAAAGTTTCTGATGAGCTTTCTTGATCAGACTGGAAGTGTTGTATGATGTCAGGCAGGAATCCACATGGACTATGATGTTTGCAGATGACATTATGATCTGTGGTGAGAACAGGGAACAGGTGGAAGAGAACTTGGAGAGGTGGAGGTATGCACTTGAAAGAAAAGGAAGGAAAGTCAGCCGTAGTAAGAACGTGCATGTGTGTGAATGAGAGGGAGGCTGGTGGAACAAGAAGCAGAGGTCACAAAGGTACAGGACTTCAAGTCCTCCTCAAGACTCATT